AGATTGTTATAGTGTCTGGTTTACAGACTTTTTGAATCACTCCTATTTTTCTGAAGTAACTTAATCATTGGCTACTCTTGATGTCAATTATATCAAAATGATTTGTTCATGTTAATTTTCCGTTACACTTGACACCAAGGAATTTAATTAACTCAGTAAATAAGATTGGGGAATCATATAATTTTAGTTTTACCTGAGAACTGTTTCCCTTTTATAACATCTATATAATACAATAGCCAAAATTTTGTTTGAGTTAAGCGCAACATGCCACTTTCACATTACGAGGTAACGAGATAAAGCGAAGTTCGACCTTTATTTGAAGCAACCAGGGAGTCTCGTGACGTTTTCCAAAACCAGTAAGTCATCGGTATAACAAGACGTATGAGTAGAGGTTAGTTTAGGATACGGAATATTGTTAACCTTTAACGAAAATAATGTAACGTAATGACTGAGAATAGAGTAACTACTGCATGTAGTCTAAATAAATTTGAAGTAGTCTCGTCAACTTTGACCTCAGCACTATGATTGTTGAGGAAATTGGAAATCCAAGTTCTTGGCATGCTGAGTTCAAATAATTTAAATAATAGCTCGTAGTGCCACACTGAATCGAGTACTTTTCTGAGATTAGAAAAGCCGCGACGGTGGATTACTAAAGATTGAAAAACTTTGAAATACGGATTCTGTTAGGCGAACTACATGATTAGAAGTTTGTCAGTTATGACGTGACGCATTCTGAATGTTTGATAAGATATTGTTTTTCTCTATGTAGTAAATAAGTCTAGTCAGTGCCATAGCCACGAGGGCGCAATGCGCCCTCTAAAAATCTGCCTTAAAAAATAAAATAATGCCTCTTTACTTTTTTCGAACTTAAATAATTCCAATGCACTCGTGTGTAAAAATATTAGGTAACCGAATTAATAGTTGCTGTAAATCAATATTTATAAAATAAAATATATTTGTACTTATGCTTTCGGCTATTGTGTTTTTTATCTCATCGACGGTTGTATACCGCTGACGTAGATTATTCAGATTTCAAATAAATTGTTATTGGTCGATGCAACGTTAATCGTTCGTTTATTAATAAAATAAGAATTATAACTGAATGTTACACAAAACAAGAGCATAGTTAAATACACTAAATTATTCGTGTTGGAAGTGAATTATTGCGCAAGAAGGGAACTGTATACACTCAGCGAACATAAGAAGACACATAACTGAAACCGCTCTCTCATTCTTGTTTATGCATTGCTAGATTTAGTGTTTGAGGCATTATTATTGACGGAAAGATTCTATCCACGGCATCCATTTTGTTCTTCAGAGGTGAGGAAATGTTACTTTAATTGTTAGCAGGCACTTTAGTAGATTATATATAATAGTTTAGGAATCGGTCTTCGCGAGCATCCATTGCTTTGTTGAGAACCGATAAAACATTTACCATTTTGCTGACATAGGGAGTATTGTAGTTGACCTAAGTGCTGCAATATGCAAATTAACAGAAGCAGCAACACTTACCGGAATTTGGCCTTTGTTGTTTCCAATCGTCATTTTATCGAAGTTAACTACACACACTTCCTCGGTAGTAAGTAGTTCAGTCCTAATATGCATTGGTCTTCAATGTCAGCCAACTATACTTTCTGTCTGTTTTTTATGCCCATGAGCTCAATAGTTATCCACATTGGTCCCCACAACCTTGCATAATGTCCTGTCACACCACAGAGCTTCTGGTACTCCTTTGTGATCCAGCACCTTGATACACACAAGGGTTTGCTGAGATGCAGAATCTATGACAAAGTTGAACCTTTGGCCATCCAGCTTCCCTGTCACGTTGACACTATAGGTGCTTGCCATTTTACACTTAGCTGTTGGAACTTTTACAACACCAACCTCTACTGGTTTCCCGAAGCT